TCCTCCTCAAAAAATGTGGTGGGGAAGAAGGAGAGGGGGGGGATGCAAAGAGCTCCAACCGCTGGGAGGGAGGGGGGGGGCAAAGAGAGGACCTCCTTTCTTTATCTGTGCGGTTTTGTTTTTGTTTTTGTTTTAGAAGAGAAACTTGGCCCCGGGAAAAAAAAAAAAAAATTCTTCTTATTCACCCCGTTTAATGTCGCCCTCCGTTTTCCTCTTTTATCCCCTTTTTCCCCCCCCCTTTGAGTGAAAAAAGGCCCCCCCCCCCCCTCAAAGACCTCTCCCTCCAACCAGGCCGTCACTCGGCCACGCCCACCACCACCAAGCACCCGTCTTAATAAGCACTACCCCCCCCCCAAAATGTCCTCCAGAGTAGATGTATGTATGAACGGGCTCCTCGACCCACAACAGATTGTCTCATTAAAGCGAAGTCTTGTCTCCTTTTAAGTTCTCCGACCCTTTTTTAAATAACGCGGAATCGCGGCCGGGTCTCTTTTTTTCCGGGCGGGGGGGGGGCCCCCCCCTCATTTGGTGAAGGCGGCCACCACGGCCCACATGAGTTCGTTGGCGCTGGGCTTGGCGCTCTCCTTCTCGGGCTCCAGCTCCAGCAGGGCGTGCACGCGCTTCATGCCCAGGTCGTACTGCTCGTCCTGCAGCGGGGCGAAGGCGTTCTCCAGGACGTCCGACGAGTGCGCCAGCAGGATCAGCGCCAGCACGCGCTTGTCCATGCGCTGCGGGTCGTTCACCCACTTCTCCAGGACCGAGTCCTGGACCTTCTTGATAAGGCGCTGTGGGGGGGGGGGGGGGAGAATACAGAGGGAGGGTTACTGGACGAGTTTTTAACCGTCTAACACAGGGGGGTCAAACTCTGGTTGTGATTATATTTGCCCCGTGAGACAATACCAAATGACTACAAGAGCTGGCCACCGGTATTGTACTGTACAGACCATTAACCGCTCAGACTACAACTCCCATAATGCCCTGCTGCTGTTCAGGACAGGACCCAGAAACTCCTCTGTGACAGTAGCTACACACTACAGCTGTCACTGTGCTAGACTTCCCAAAAATGACCAAAACCAGGTAGGAACCTCCATCAGAACCTGGAGGAAAGTTCTGGCCCACGTTGTAATTATATTTGGCCTGTGAGACAATACCAAATGACTCAGAGAGCTGGCCCCCAGTATTATACTGTAAAGACCATTAACTGCTCAGACTACAACTCCCATAATGCCCTGCTGCTGTTCAGGACAGGGCCCAGAAACTCCTCTGTGACAGTAGCTACACACTACAGCTGTCACTGTGCTGCTTCCCCAAAAGAAAGGCAGGAAACAGGAGCTTTCTGGACAAGCTCATTGAATTTTTATATTTAATTTAGAAGGCTGCGAATAGAAAAATATTTTTAAAATTATTTCATAAATGAATGCCACTGATGTGTTTTTTATTTTAAAATTGATTTTGCATGTCTCCACTAGTAAGTTATACATAATGTAATAAGAGTTGCTTGTTCCATATTCAATGTTAAAGCAAAATTTGTTTTGTTCCACATTAAAAGGTTAATTTGTTCAATCTTGGCCTGCAGCTTTGTTCAGGTTTTAATTTTGGCCCACTGTGTTTTTGAGTTTGACACCCCTGGTTTAACAGAACCAGAAGCACCCGCTTCTGAGCCGGCAGGTCTGGTTTACAAGAGAAAAACGATTCATTATAGTGGTGTAGGCGCCAGATGCCTATTTCATGCTTAGTTTTGAATTTACCCGTATTATGTCAATTTGATATTTCATTTACATTCACGAGTGACAATAACAAGTTCAAACATATGTACAAGGTTAAAAATGTGATTTAGAATAATTACAGGACGTTACTTAGTGGGCCTTAGATTAAGATTAGTGAAAGTGTAGGAGGCATATTTTCGTTTGTATTCGTTTTTGTTATCGCCTTTGTTTTGAAATAAAAAAACTAAACGTGACGTCAGTGGAAGCTATCGTTTTCTTTTGGATCCTGAAACACAAAGCTCTAACCTATGACGATTGTAATGATGTTTGGACAAACATTAACTCCCAGTTAACTGTACACACACGGAGCAGGAGGGCAAACGCTAGCCCGGGTCTTCTTCGGCCTAAGTTACCGACTCTGTTTGCTCAGAGCCCTTCTCAGGGAGACGTGGGGTTGGGCACACAGACTGTGGAACAGGAAATGTGGCCGTGTTAGCCAGTAATCCAGCTCCTTAAACGGATCTAAAGAGGATTTTCACGGCCCCACGGCCTCTTAAACTTACACTCCTGGAGCCACATTTCTTTCTCCAATGGGCCCGCCTTTGGGTTTTACCCCTCACAAGATGGAGAATAATGATTTAAAAATGTCAAATGTGCATCCTTTAAGGCGCTCTGTACTCCTGAGGATCCAAACAGGAGCCAAAAGGTGCGATTACTCCTCTTTTGAGAGGTTATTGTCAGTGTGGGCATGCTAAACAAAGAAAGCTGGTGGGGGGGGGGGGTGCCCAGGCCTCACCTGTTTGATGGGGCTGTTGGTGAGCGGGTGCGTGGTCATGTCGAAGAGCAGGAAGTTCTGCTTCTCGGTGGTGAGGACGCCTTTCTCCACCAGGTTCTTGGCCAGACGCTCGCGGACGTTTCTCAGCTGGTAGTGGAGCTTCAGGGGGTTCCACGTCTCCCCTGGAAGACACAAGCTTTAACCCACGTCTGTCCGAGGAGGAGCAGAAGGGGGAACGGGGACGTGGAGGCTTAGTTACTGCTGGCGGAGAGGCTTATCTCACCACTTAGCAGCTCTATCCAGCTCTGGACCGTCTCCGGAGGCTGGGTCTCTTTAACGTGCTTCAAGGCCTCGTCCAGGAGCACGTCTCCCGTCGGGGCGTCAGACTTGCAGATTACCTTTGCCAAACAAGAAGATTACCGTTATTTACCAATCTCTCCGGAGCTCAGGACACATCCTGAGCAAACAGGAAGCGTAAAAAAAAAGGGTGCGAGGGGGCCGTGAACGCACCACCAACGGCCCCGGGGCTCTCACCTTCCGTGCCAGCAGGCCTTTCCTCCTCACCCCGCAGGGCTCCAGGTTTAGCCTCCCTCGGAGGGCCAGCTCCACCAGCATACACCCGCGGAGCCCGGAAGAGATACAGTCGTTCCAGAAAGACGTGTAACCCTGGGGAGGAGTTTTGAAAAAAATAAAAACAATAAAAACAAGACGCCACCTTAGCTGACGTGTTGCTGCTCTCTCTCTCTATTACTTCCAGGCGAGTTGTCTTTCTGGGGAAAGTTTCTCAGAAAAACTGGAGACTAAGACAACTGCGTGGGTCAGTAAAGCAGACACTAAACGTGGGATAACCGGCCAAATGCCCCCAGAGGACCGTAAACAGGCGGCTTGACAACCGACACGTTGCACTGGAGACTTTACTTTAGCTACTCGACACATCGGCTAACCAGCTTTCATGGCAACTCTTCACACCCAAACAAACCCTAAACCCACTAAACACAAGCAGAAACCCGGATAAACTCACTTTAACGTGTTGGCATTTTGCTCGTCAACGCGAAGTAAACACTAAAACGTCGGGTTAGATTAAGTCAAAGTTTTCCTGCTAGCATGGTTCCCCGTTAGCAAACAGCCCGCACCTCTCGGTCCTTTAGGCCCAGGAGCAGCACTTCTTCCATGAGCGTGAGCCGGGTTTCCTTCGAGTCCCCCTTCTCCTCGTCCTCCTCCTCCCCGCGGCGGGCCTCGTCCTCCTCCCCGCTGGAGTCCTTCTCCTTGTCGGCGGCCGCTGCGCTGCGGATGGCCTCGGTCCTCCGCTGGACGAGGCCCGAGCTCCTCTGCGTAAGAGACGTCATGGTTTTGGAGGCTACGGAGCGATTTGGTTCGAAGTCGGACTCCTACTTGGGTTAAACGTCATGTATCGGCATGTAACCGAAATGTGGAGGCGTAAAAAAAAAAAGCGACTGGAAGCTGGACCGATCGACCGGAGACGGCGGTTGACGTTAAGCCCGAGATTCCTGTGTAGACTCTGCCCACTTCCGGATTCAACATGGTGGCCGCGGCCATGACGTCACACGTAGCCGGAGCAACCGTGAAGGCATCTCGCGCGTTGCGTTCACAGCCGTCTGAAAAATAGCAAGAAAATGTTTTCAGTGTGGCTTCAACGGAAGAAAACAAACAAGCAAAATAAAAATAAAAACAACGTTTAACTATGTTTAACCCATCTATCTACAACATGATTGTCGTTACTGTTTTTTACTACTCCTGAAAAATCCTTTCAGACAACACATTTTAGAACAAAAATTCATAAAATTCATTGATAAATATCTTAGGCGTTGTCAAAACAAAACTAATTCTGTTTGTGTTGTGATAACAAATCGGAATCAAAAAGAAACTGGTCGAGCCTGAGTTTAGGACATCAAAAGTGGGTTTCTTTTTTAGCCTTAATATAGTTTTAGAGCGGCATTCAAGCTGAATGCGCTGGAGGAATGACAAATTACAAGAAATGTCTATGGAATACAGACAAAGACCTAGAAATGTTCAATTACTCCACACATTGTAGACCGGTGAATATTCTTCTGAAGGTACAGAGCATTTACTACATCCATAGTACAGTTGTTGACCCCAAAGAGCCATTTTTTACATTATGTAACACAACATGTCAACACAAGGTGGCAGACTGTGTGTGTAACATGTCTCCTTCCTCCTCTGCTGAGTCATCTTTCCGTGTGTCCTCCGTGCTTTGTTGTGATGGGACACAACCAGCTCTGAGACACATTTTTGGACAACATACAGACCTTTGGAATCCTGGAAGGAGAGAACTGGTCATTTAGAGTTAGCTTTCCATCAGTATTGTTTCCTCAGCTCCTGTACGTCGTCTAGTTTGGTGGGAAATAACTTCATCGCATTTATCATGTGGAAAGATGCATTATAGATGATGTTTCTGCAGAGAAAGTCTTAGTTATGCACCAACTGCCTCCCTCCCATCCCAAATCACCTCTGCTTTATACACAAACCACTATTTTAAAACAGGTGCAACATAAAGTGCTGTACAGGAAGGAAACCAGGGCCTTTAAATCCATGTTAAATGTGTGATTTTAGCTGGAAATGTACATTTTTCATGCTCTCCATGTTCTCCACAGCTGAAAATTTAAGTCCAAAACTTTAAACCTGGAGTTTAAAGAGGTTGGAATTAATAAACACCATATTCCAAACGTGAAAAGTTTCCACCACATAAGTAAACAAGCTGAAATGGATTGATTATTAGAATTAAAGGGGGTTAAATATGATGAATACTGCTGGTAATAGGCTCAATTATTCAAGCGGAGTTTGAACTGGATCAGAGGAAAGCAAACACTGGGCCCTCCAACCTGCACGTCCCATTTACCGAGCTCAATTATTCTGCATGATTTAGGCTGAATTCTGGATAGAGCCTCCTCTGCCCTGTAAACCTGTTATTTACATGCTGCTTCATCCAGCTGACCCTCACAGAGGCCGATTCCACGTCGGATTCAGGAGGGCTGAAAAGAAACAAAGACAGGAACTGCTTCTTTCCTTCTAATGAGTGTAAACATAAGTAGGTATGAGTGTGGATCCTTTATCATAAATGTGCAAATCGTGATAAACAGATGACCTGTTATCTTTCATTTTGAAAGATTTCTTCTGTCTTTTAAGGTTTTAGGGTTTTTAACTCCATCTTAACACAAGAAAACAATGTTATTTTTGGTTTCTGTACTTCTAGGAAACACAGAGTTAATGAGAAAGTAATGAGTGAAACTTTGACTTGAACACAAATGATGAACATGAACACACACAACTTAAATATTTTGCTTTATTAAAGCAGCAGAAAACGACAAACGTTTCTAACACGACACAAACTGTTACTGAGAAACAGGAAAAGGCACATTAATAGATGCCAAGGTTGGTGCCCTGCCTCTGAAAGTCAAGTTTTATAGGTGTTTGGACTTCCTCTGCTAAGTGAGGAGAGGCGGTTGTCCAGCGATTAGCCTGATCCCGTTCAGCTCTGTTTCTGTAGCAAATCCAACAAAAACTGCATTGTGAAAGAGGACGTACTCATTTTTGTCAGATAAGGTTGAACTTGAACACACTTAAGATACAAAACAGCCAACATTTTTAGTTAAGATTTAATTTGATTTGATGTTTAATAAAAAAAGTTTAAGTATTCATAGCTAGTATTGAACACGACTGAATAAAGTTTGCTTTATTCACAGCAAATAAAGAAAAAGAAAGACAAAAAGAGACAGGCAACAATTAACAAAGTAAATGTGTGTGTGTGTGTGTGTATTTCTGAGATGAAGGAGTGGTCCTACAACTTGGAAAAAATGGCTCCCCAGACGGTTGGAAATATGCCCAGTGTAAACAGTAATCTGCGCGAGCATCCCAGCAGAGACAGTTGCCTGACGCTGACCATCTATGTGGAATAGTTGCTCTCCGTCCAAGACCAGAAGATGTGCAAGTGTTAGGAGGATTAGGTCTGGAAAACCTCCCCCGTGCTAAAGTATGTGAACAGGTGTAAACAGTACATGGTTGAGGACAACACTGCCCAGTAACACACATCCTGAACGCACAAATGATGAGAAAAAGGCATGAAATAAGCAGATATGCAGCTTTAGCCTTTGAGATTTCTAAAAAAAAAACGTTTGCATGAATGTTTCTTGATGGATAATCTGGTTGTCCTCGGCCCCGACTGACACTCTTAATAAACCTCCCGGTCCCTGTGAGACCTACCAGAGATCTACGGTTTCAAACGGCCAGAGCTGAACATCTGTATTTTTCACTTTTGTTCCTTTCTGCTCACTGATCTGGACGTTCTGGGCCTGACGTGACGCCCAAATCTCTCCCCGGAGCTTAAAAAAAAAGCCCCGCACAGGCCCATATTGGAGCCATTTCCTGTCTCTGAAGTGGGCAAAGAGATGACCCCTGGCGACCCTCCCATATAAATGCAGATGAACACACACACGCACACACACGCACACACACACACTCTTATTTAAGACAACACCCCCGCAGAGAGAGCTGGGGAAGTCACTTACGTTTCCACGGCGGTAAGTGAATTACTGACTCTCTCAACTGAATCCCTCACAGGAGAAAAATAAGATGAGAAAATATAATTATGTGTAATAGCTCGCGATATTCAAAAGCTACAGGGTTTCCTCGAAGGCTGAGAAAAAGCAGAGTCACAATTTTGGGATCACACGGGGAGGGCTTTTAAGAGAAAGACACCACCAATTTTCTAGCAATTTGTTGCAAAAATAAGAAACCGGAGCGGAGAAGAGGCCTTTCAAAGGGTCCCCATCTGCTAGCTTCTCATTGGTCGGTGCCGTTTCTGGGTTTTGAGTTGGATAAGTTTGTTTGCCGTACGGTGAGAGATTAAAAAAAAGCAACTGGAGGAGAGAGAAAACCGCAAAGCGAGCTCCTCTGTTTCGAACATCTGCTGCAGCTCCGCACAATGACAGGAAGTGCTTCGCCTTTGCCCCATTCACAGAGACGCGAACAATAAAATACAACAATGAGGTAATACATCCAGGGGCCTGAAACCCGCCAGAAGACGCTCTCCGCTGCCCGGCGGAGGCTTGAGCGGAGAACGTGCACAGAGAGGTTTGTATCTGAGAGGCAGTCAGCCAACCAAAGATGCCTTTTATCACATGAACTGGAGTGAATGAGGTCATTGTTTTTGAGGCTCGGCCAGAAATGGAAAACAGCACACTTGAAAAGGGCCTTTTAACATGTTGGACTAATCTTATTTGGCATTTTTCACTTGCGAGAACACAAAAGAAAAAGAAAAAACGTGCTTTAGCAGCTGTGTTTATGGCGTTTTGAAGTAAAAAATCACTCTAAAAAATGCTGATCGCGTAAAATCTGAAGCTCTGCAGAGTATTTGTGGATTCCGTCTGTTTTACTGAATCATATTTGACATTTTTTCATCAGGATGAAGCTCAAACTGCTCCTGCTCATGCTTCTAGTAGACAAATTAAAATCCAAAACGCTGACAGAAAGCGGAGATCATCCGTCCAGAAACGGGGCCTCCAGAATCCTGAATGCTGACGTCACTTAAACGCATCGTAGCTGCTGAGAAACACACCCAGCTGGCTCACTCTCCACTTTAATCTGGATTATTAAAGCCAGATATTGGATAAAGTTTGCTAAAAAAAGTAGCTAGCTCAGCACGAATGCTGACTCAGCGATCTGGGCCGATCCTCTGTAATTATTCTGTCTGTCGGATTTCAACACGTCTCCCCAAACGAAGGGATTTTTATTGATTAAGAGAGATTGTAAAATCTTTTCCAAATTCATCAACGACCAGAAAAACCAAGACTTGGCCCCGTTGGACTATAAACATTTCTGTTAGCCGTGTAAAAAACGACTGATGCAGCACAGTCCAAATGAAACACGCTCTAATACTGGAAGGGGGGGGGGGGGGGGTTGTGGTTTGGTCCTTGGACCAGAACTTAGGAGCTGGTTTGCTGTAAAAAAAAAAAAAAAAAACAGCAGCTATTACAGAAACTCCTGTTTCTGTGCTGAATGATTCCTCCTCTCTGCAGCCAAGAGGAAGCAGGATGCCCGATTCCCAAATTACATCATGATTTGGACAACAGGACGGTTTTTGGGGAAGGGGAGGGGGGGTGTCACTGGATATTTTCAGTTTCCAGCTTTAACTCTCAGTTTTGGGGTCAAGAGATGGACTGAATTGTTCTCTTTTCATCCACAAACAAACATTTCTCATAATTAACACCTGACAAATTTGCCTTTTTTTTGCTGTTTTCTTTTTGATTTGTCTGATTCGCTGACTCATCATGACTTAATCAAGGCTGGAATCTATTTGTGGAGCCCAAAATTGATTGAAGCACTTCTTTTTTTTTCTCCTCCCTCCTTAGGTCTAATGGTGTGTGATCCTCCCTTTCCTTGGGCTCTCCCCACTCGATTTCTACAGGAAGCGCTCCACAATAGGACCCCGCCGGAGGGTCAGAAACACGGCTCTGAGACTCACACAGAGAAACCTGTGACCTGGTTTTACAGAGAAAGTGAACGCACCGCCACACGTTTACTTCTGGGATAAATAGAAGCTGCCATTGTTGGTATGATGACAGGATCCCAGCACGATCCGTTGAGTGAAAAGCTGGTGGATGACCACAGAAAGATGCTGTGACTCAACCAAACCAGGCTCAGTTTACAGTAAAGCAGACAGACTTTGTGAATTTTAACCCTGTAATGCCAAATATATCATATTTGATGCGTACTGTTTTCTCACATTAACCCCTCCAGCTCAAACGGGAAGTCAAATCACGGAATATCACAACCGAGGGAGCCTTTACGGTCTTAAATATCCCATAAAATCTGTCTTTTGCATGGCACCAAAAGTCCAAAACAACATCTTTAACCCTGTAATGCCAAATGTATCATATTTGATACGTACTGTTTCTGAAATGTTTTGCGTCTGACACCTTTTGCTTAATTTAATGGTACAAACTTTGCTCAAAAACCTGTTGTACACAATCAGATACACCTGATAACAGGGGGCAGGAGACTACACAAATAACAATCTTGACTTATCGCATAGTAATAAATTATTAATATTAACCATTTATTTTTGTTTTTTCTTTTTACATATTTTGTTGAAAGGCCAAATATAGACTTAAAACCACAAAAAAGGAAGTTTCTGTTTTGTTTTATTCTTGGATCAGGCTTTAAAGGGTTAAAAAAGGAGAGTTTTGAATTGTTCTGGCACCAAAAAGTGGCCGAAGAGTGAAAAATGTGAGGATCGGGGCAGTTGATAATCCCGAACAGATGAGTCTCTCTGGTTGTGGTCAAAGGCCGAAAAAGGCTCTCCCCAAAACAGGAGACCTGCATCAGAAGGAGTCAAATGAAAGTGAGCGTGATGAGGGAGGGGGGCGTGGAGACCCCATGGGGGGGGATGGGGGGGTCAGGCTTTCCCACCGAGCACCTGAGGAGACCTGACCCGCCCAGAGTCCAGCACCCTAAACTCACCAGAACTCCCAAACAAAAAGCACAAAGCACATTCCTAAACTTTGGGTCACTTTTTATTTTTTTGATTGTGGCCAAATGTTGAGCTCAGTTTGTCCCAGTTCTGCTACTCGGGGGGTCGGGTTTCTGGTGCATTTCCAACCGAGCCACCAGGTTCTGACCCGGCCGACCGGGCAGCAGGTAATGAAACCCCGCCACTCTAAAGTTACCCTCCAGGGGAGCAAGTTCAGAAAAAGCCATCTGTCTCCAGACACATTTTAGACTCCTGCACTTCACTGAGCAAACTTATTTCGAGAAATAATAATAATAAATATTAATAACATTCATGAATGTAATAGAAAATGATCATTTTTCTTCTCTTTCTTCTAGCGATTTTGGCTGTAAACTCACATCTCTTCTGCACAATTTCTCTTTTTCTAATGTTTTTTTTTTTTTTAAATACCAGTGGAGGTCAAATATTTATATGTTGATATTTTCGATCCACTAAATCGGTTTTAGTGGAACAACAGTATTTGGATTTTGATAAAATTGGTGCTTTTTCTTCCTTCCTTATTTCTGATGAAAATAAAATATTAGTTTACCTTGATATGAAAACATTCAGAAATTATAATCTGTTGTCTCAGGATGTGAATTGTTTTCTATTTGGCCCTTTTTAGTGCATTTCTACAGCTAAAAAAGAGGAAACAAAGCTGAAAACTACATTTCAGATTCATTTTTAAAACTTTCCTCTAACCAATGACTGTATTTGGATATTATAGTGGAGTACATACAGACACAGGTCATCATTTATGGACATTTCTGGAGATTTTTGTGAGGAATACATTTTCTTTAATGTGTTAAAACACATGAAACAAATCTCTCATCATGATTTCCTCTCATTTCAGACGTTTAAGCATCACTGTCCACATTTCAGTTTTTATAGAAAGGAAAGTGGACGCATTACCAATGATTATAAATGTAAAAACTCCACCAAAGCTTTGGTTAAGGCTTGTTCCTGCTGACGCTTTGCAGTGTTAAACTGTTTCAAAGTGTGACACAGTCAGGCTGATTCTTGATGTGGTTTCACAATGTGCTGCTGTTATTGAGAAGTTCTCAAACATCGCACCCAGGGCTGGCCCCCGTTTGTGGGAGGGCTGCTCTGAAAGCTGCTCTGTGTGTCCAAATGTCAGGCTCTGAACGCCGCTTCAGTTGTGAACGCCGCTCTTTCTTCTGTTCCAGCGAGAGCGACGCGTTCAGGGTCCCCTGTCTTTCGTCAGAGGTCCTGCCCCAAAATCAGAATCAGAATCAGAATCAGAATCAGAAATACTTTAATAATCCCAGAGGGAAATCGTTTTTGTTACTTACTCCAGAAATAAAACAACCGCATATACATATATACATGTCTATATATACAAAATTCCACACAGAATGTGAATAAATATATACAAAAGTAACTATATGTATATGTATAGGTCTAAAATAAGTGATAGTGATAATGTCAATAATTTAATTAGAATTTACAGACATCTCCCAGGACATCTACATGACATCCCTCCGTTATCACACCACCTATTTTAGACCTACAGTGGGGGAAATAAGTATTTGACCCCTTGCTGATTTTGCAGGTTTGCCCACTTACAAAGAATGCAACAATCTATAACTTTAATCATATGTTCATTCTAACAGTGAAAGACAGAATCCCAAAGAAAATTCCAGAAAATCACATCATATGAATTAATAAAAATTGATAACCATCTGATGAGGAAAAATAAGCATTCTTTGTAAGTGGGCAAACCTGCAAAATCATCAAGCGGTCAAATACTTATTTCCCCCACTGTATATATATACATATAGTTATTCATGTGTATATTTATCTATATTACTGTCTGGAATTTTGCATATATGTATATATATATGTATATATGTATAGACATGTTTATATGTATATGCTGTTGTTTTATTTATGGAGCTTGTAAAAAAAATGATTTCCCTCTGGGATTATTAAAGTATTTCTGATTCCAGCCACAGAGGCTCAGTAAAACCCCCCCAAAGGGCCAAAGAGACCTCTGGTCCAGCAGAAAGAGGCGGCAGAAGCCCCGTTCCTGTCATTGTTAGCGGACAGACAGAAGCAGAGTCACACTCGGACTCCGCTTACACAACAATGACACAGGAAGAGACGCTCTGCAGGAATGTGAGCGAGCGGGTGAAGGCTGAGGTCACATGTTCGCAGTCACAGACATTTTTGAGCTCATCAAGGAGCTCTTTCTCTGACTTCAAAGCAACATAAAACGCTTCTATATAAACAGCATGTAAAATGAGCACATAAATACCAGTGGATCTTCACTGTGGGCTCCATCTCGTGACCCACACTGACATAAAAAGGGTCACATTCATGTCTCCAGAGGTATTTTCTCCACCTACGTACCTTCTAGGTTTAATAACTGGACACAAAGGCACACTTATGTTCCAAAGTACATAACTTTTGGTACTTTGGACCCCCCAAAGGCTCGAACCAACCAGATTAAACTTTGATGAACTTGAGGTTCATTCAAATGTTCCCAGTTCTTTTACTTAAAACTTGCAATTTGTAGAGTTCCTAACCCAAATCTTCCAACATAAGTGTAAAAAAAATGAAGAGAATGAAAGGGAACAGTTTTAGTTTTATGTATGTGAGAGGAAACATGTTAGACAGCATGGCCTTGAATCTGAATAGAACTAATACGGTGAAATTTAAAGGCTTTTATTGTTTTCGGGTATTTTGTGTAGTTTTATTTTTCGTTTTTGTGGATCTTTTTTTGCTTCCTTTTATAGTTTTTTGTCTCTTTTACAGATTTAACTTTTCACATTATAATATTCAGCTGAATATTTCTGAGTTTCAAATGTTAAAGTAACAGAAATAGAAAAACACTTACTCATGTTCTAGTATCTATGAAGAATAATCAGTACCAGTAAGCACTATTTTTCTCATTGTTCGGTGTGTCTGTAGTTGCATTTTATTTTTATTTTTTTTATTCATGTTTTTATTCACGTGACAAGGTCAAGTACAAACAATGAAAAGTAAGGATTTTTTTTCTTTTTACAAAAACAACAACCACTCATTCCCTCCCTTCCCCAGCCCTTCCCAATCCTACAAGATTATGTTACAGATCAGTAATAACCCACATCTTTCCTTCTTACCGTTCACAAACATGTGAATAAAAAAGTATATAGACAATTAAAAAAGAGAGAGTAGTAAGAATAACATAAATAAATAAATAAATAAATAAATAAATAAATAAATAAATAAATAGATAGATAGATAGATAGATAGATAGATAGATAGATAGATAGATA